GGCCAAAGGTACTTTGTAGCTTATTAGAGAATGTTGTGTCAATCTACCTTTGTAACTTAAAACCCAAAAACAATAAAATCATTTCTTTTTATATATATTGATCTGATAACAAAAGTATACATAAAACTGGTATTTAGAACCTATCAAAAAGGCATACATATTAAATCTTCATTCATCTCAAACAAGAAGCAGGGAGGCTACATTACATTCTAAATTTATACAATGAGAAAGGATCAGTGAAGAACTGATCACATATCTCTAACATTCTCCGTTTTGTTGTTTCTGTGATTTATGAATAACGAAATGATCTACTACTTTTACGGTTTTAACAGGGTCTTGTTGCACTGTTGATGCACACCATTTACTTGGAAACTCTCTTTTATGGCTCATCAGCCCACTCTGTTTCTGCTCTGAGTCCCAATCTTTGTCCAGCTTCCAGTCTTTAGGCACCTACACTCATATCATATACACACCCTCTGGTTAAAGATCTTTTAATCATAACACTAAGAAATCAACAAAAAAACTGATAACCGGATCCATGAAAATTAGTTCATGAAGTCACATTTGGTTCATAATGATCATTTCTGGCATCAGCACAATCAGTTTGTAAGTAGAGTAGTTATTTCACCTTATCAACTGCGAGGGTGAATACTTCGATATCTCCATCAGCTTTGATGTGGAAACGGGTGAAAGATTTGTAATTGGCAATGCGAAGTGAAGAGAAAGCTTCATCAAAGTGAATATGGAGCCAGTTGATGCAGATATACAAGTAGCTCCCAAATACCATTGACACGACAGGAGTTGAGAATACCCAGAAGTAAAGGAAAACAGAAGCATAATAGATAACAGCTCCGCTTCGTGAGAGCGATTCCATTCCTTTTTTGCAAATGTTAGTCCGGGTGACCGCCATCACCTGATGTTTAAAAGCACTCAAGTCGGTTTTTTTAAATTGGATTTTCTGTTGATCAAAATAGAAACAAAACTCAGTCATTACTTACCTCAGGAACATCAAATGCTGACATGAGATACTTGATGCACGCAGGATAAAGGCCAAACGTCCATTGTTCCATACGGGCTCGAAGGCCAGTAGGGTCTGGGAAATGCTCGTTTTCCACTGATTTGTACCACTGATACAATGTATGATACCCTGCGTGAACAAAAGTGTCGAGAGTCGCAAAATCAATCAAGGCTAGTTCACAGACAAATTCATTGAGTCACTAATTACCCATTGGCATCAATGACACTGTAATAAGTCAAGATGCTCATTCAATGTGCAATTAAACGTTGCACCTTGTCATGAAACAAAACTATACATGGAACGGAAACTGACCAGAATTTGCAAGGAGATTATGTTGGATACAGATTTCTATGCCCAGTTCCAACATCAACATGAGAATCAGAGCTGCCATCAGGTGCGCAGCTACATGAAGAATTCCAATTACCACCCTTTTCTTCCGAGATATTTTTGAAGGGACAAATGTGATTGCAGTGATCAGCAACACCAGGACACCCGTAAAAGACACATAAGATTGTTCCATCACATAGACAAAGGCGCTCCAAACTGTGCCTAAGAAACTCTCCAGGTGACCAGAAAACGAATCACCTCGTAAAATATGGGCTAGCTTACACTGAAACCAACAAGAAAGAAGAAGGAATGAGATGGTAAAAAGGAAAAAGAAAATCTACATATATGCAAACCGCAGGAAAAAAAATCCGCTATAGCGACCATAAACGCACCTGAGGAAACAATGAAAAGACCAAGATAAAGTATATAATGCCACCAATGAAATCAAATTGCCAGTTCTTTTTCCGGAACTTCAAAATATTTCCCAAAGCAATCTGCAAACAGAAAACACCATATAACATCGGAATGCAAATAAAGCAACGCAAGTTGGTGATAAGAGACTGGAGACAGAAAAGTCAACCTTGCTTGAATCATCAAAAGAAGGGTAGGCAGCCTTGCTTCCATAGGATGCCCCGTAGAACTTTGAAAAGTTGCTGAACACATGGGTAGGATGCAGAAAAGCTCCTCCACAGCCATTAACAAGAAGATGTTCGACATGGGCAGGTCCATCTGATTGAGTGCATGAATGTCGCATATAATGATGCAAATCCCCTGCCATTCTAAGTTTACACCTGTATTTCAAAACGTCGCATATCAGATGTCTCACATTCTTCCCTGTATCGCCGCTCCAGTACCAATCAAGAAGCCAGTTCGGTTCATGCGTGATAATGATCACTGCATCATCCTCCTTAACCTAAATGAGAGAATATAAATTTCACTTAAGCAACAAAATGAATATGGAGTAATATGGAACAACGAAGCCACTAAAATATAGCCTAAACCACTTGTTAGGAGCATTTCAAAAACAAAAGAATCTCAAATTTATATCATACTAATATAGCATATAGCAAGTCGTTAACGAAGTAATGACAGAACTCTGAGTAGGTGACCAAAAAGTTTACATAGCGTCAATAAATCTCTATCGAGTGGGAAAGAAAATTATACAACAATTACCTTCTCCTTCACCAATTCGGAAAAGAATTTGAACTGGTCGACATCAATATCACCATGAAGTGCAAGATCCAAACCAAACACCCACCATCCCTCAGGTAGCTGCAGGGCAAAATAGCTTTTCTTCTGGGGCATAAACCAACCGCCTAACCAACTCTTATGGCATATATACCGCATGAAAGTATTGAGTCCATCAAACCAGTCTACGAAATAATAAACAATAACTCTATAGTCAGAGGAAATGGTAGAAGAAACCCAAGTATGCATGCAGGAATGTGAAACAAATTATTTCAAAGATAAATGAAGTTGAGACCTGAAACTCACCATGGTTTCCAGGGATGAGAAAACATTGAGGACCATCATAATCTTTCAGATTAGATACTCCCTTTGGTAATTCAGGCTTGTCAACAGCAATAGAGTCCTTTTTATACCAATGGGGAGGCTGAAGTGCATACTCAAAAGGACAAAAGAGACGTTTTTCGTATGTAAACGCTGATGGATTGGGGTATCTGGGACATATCATGGAAAGACATCCACAGTTACATTTGGATCTGGCAACAGCTAGAGAATATGTAAAAATTACAGATGATATGAACATCACTTACGCAAGATCTCCTCCAATAAGCAGTACATTACCCCGTGGTAACTTACGAGATGGCTTCACACCTTGCGGTGCTTCCACCTTTTGCCCATCGGATTTCTGTTCTAAAACCTGTTCCGAGAACTTGCATAGAGAAGGATTTTCCGCTAGTATACTTTCATCATCCACCAAGACTTCAATGGAAGGCTGGGCAAGAAGTTTCGCAACAGCATATGATGAATTCCCACCATCACCAGTATCCGCCATGAAATCAAACCAAAAATCTTTTTTATCAGCAAGGTGATCATATAAAAGTTCTTTCTTCTGGGTTCCATCACAAGATTTGGTCATCGCAGCCTAAATATTGTCAAAGAAGAAAGAAGCAAAAACATCAAAACCAATTATCACAATTGTCTGACCGCAGAAAGAGGAATGACCTGATAATATCATATCACTAACTAAAAAAGTATACCTGCAGCATCCGCATGTCAAAGCGGCCAACAAATACTGTCACTGATACGAGGAGGTCAAACACAGTTTTAAACAAATCAGCCGATGTTCTGAAATATATAATAAGATAGGTCAGCACATGGTCAAGTGGCCTGCTTTCATTGTTTACTCGCCTCAATAAAAACAATGGTAAGCAGAAAGGGGAGATATTAGTTTGGCAATAACGTACCCTGAATACCAAGGAACCATATCTAAGAAATTAGGTTTCATTTGCTGCTTCTTGAGCTTCTCGTATTTGTCGACTGACAGAGGGTGTGTCAGAGCCCACCTAAACAGCATAGCAAAAATTTTAAGATAAAACATGACATTCGAATGTAAGCCCAACGTTTTTCATATGGATGTATCGTTAATCCTCACTTTGGATATTAATTTGACAAGAGTTATGCTATTGATGCAACTTACCCAGTTGATCTCTCCACTACATAATTAGCAATGTAAAGACCAATAAATGTGGCCCACAACGAGTATATGGGAGAAATTTCGTTAGATGAATCAGGACACGATCCATTGCACGCAATCTGCAAATAACAAGGTAGGATTAGGATAAAAATTAAAGGGTGAACAAATAAAACATATTCACAACTCATTAGAACAGTTTAAAGAAGAGATACCTCTCCGTAGATAAACCATTTGGATAACAGTGGATAATCACTTGCAGATCCAACTGGGGCAAACCATGATGAGCACACTTGGTCTTTCAACTCATTCATGCGAATGAGTTTTGCAAGCCAGGTATTGTGTCTATGTTCTCTTTTCAAGAACGCAAACCAGCTCGAATGCTGTTTTTCCAGAGGTTTTTGCCTAAGGACAGCCCGATTACCACAATGGCTGTAAAAGATACAGCAAGCCATGCTAAGGACCTGAAAAAATGAAAGACAATAAGTTCTATATGAAAGACAATATTTTAAGCAAATAAGTGGCTTTAATGTGCACGAGTGGCGGTGGTGAACTTACAGCGCAGTTTTGAAGAATGGTTAAGATCTCTGGGCGTCTACCAGCCACGCGAGAAACAAGACCAACATACCAAAGGCCAAGAAAAATGATGTGGAAGACAACAAGGAAGACTATGGATGATATGTAAATTGTTAAAAACAAGGACAAATTCATCCTCAAATCCAAACCCATTGACTGAAAATTAGGAAGATGATACAAAGCTGCAACTAAAATCCAGGCAATGTACCTACGCACAAGAAAACAAAGAATTAA